GCGGTAAATTTAACTCGAAAAAGCAGAGACATGACCACAAACATACAAAAAAACTTTTCGGAAAAGCAAGGATAAAGATAAAAAAAAATAAAAAAAATTTAAAGGTTGGGTTAATTAACACAATTTAAAAAGACCCCTGGAAAAATGGGTGGAGAAAGGCATTCCCAGGGTCCGCGCCCCCCCGGCCCCGGGCGCGCCCCCCCGGCCCCGGGCCATGACCATCTCCCGTTGAACCATTTATTAAAACCAGAGCAGATACTGACACACAGCTTTCCCTAACCCGAGTAAAACCCGGTTCAGAACAACCAGTTAAAAAGAGAGGGTAACCCTGCTGATCTGGGAGACGTAACTTAAGTTAAACCTACCCAAGTTTACTTATAAACTTCAAGTTATATAACCCCAAATTTTCTTTTAAGAAAACTTTTAAGTTAAACATAACAATTACTTTAATTAAAATTCAAGTTTATCATAAACCCCAATTTCTTTTAAGATAACTTCAAGTTATCATACTCAAGTTACCCTTTTAAATTCAAGTTATCATACCCAAATTTCTTATTTAAAATTTAAATTTTTAAATTATCTTTCTCAAGTTACTTATAACTTTTAAATTATTAAAACCCCCGTTACTTTTAAAATAACCAAGTTATCCCTATCAAGTTACTTATAAATTCAAAATTATCCCTTTCTCAAGTTACTTATAAGTAACTTCAAGTTATCAAAACTCAAGTTACTTTTAAAATTCAAGTTATATAGTCCCAAATTTTCTTATTTTTGGGCCCCAGTGCTGGAGGCAATGATGTAGGCAAGCGTAGAAGTGAGGAATTTTTGGGTTTGAAAAGTTCAGGGGCAGCTATAAAACATGAATTTTGGGAAAAAGGGGGGGCGCCCCGTTATATGTGGGGGTTTTGGGGGAAAAAGAAAGGGGTTTTGGGAATGAATGGTTGTTTCCCAAACAATTGGGTTTTAATTTTTGGCTGGATAAACCGTAAGGAAAAGCGGGACCATTTATTGACAATGGGCAACTTCTATGGCCCAAAAATGGAAAATGTATGCAGGGATTTGGGGCAATTATTTCCCGGGCAGGGGTGGGTTTTTTTTGCTTAAATCAGGGGGGGGGTTTTTTTAGGATTTTAAAAAAGGAAAAAAATTTGAAAGGTATGGGTTTTGAAATGATTAATAATTTAGTATGGATAAATTGACCCTTTTGCTTGTTTTTAAGAATTTTAATAGTAACTGTCCTGGGGTAATCTTGGGAAAGATAATTTCAGAAAAATTTTGTAAAAAAAAAAAGATGAAAAGGAAAAATTTTGCGAAGAAAAAAAAATATGATTTTATTTTAAGCTAACGCCCAAGTGCAAGAAATAAAAATTTAAAGAAACCCACGTTTGGTACATTTGCTGGGAAAATTTGAAAACATTGCATTAACTGAAAACTGGTATGATTTAAAAAGTCGGGATAAAGATGCCCGAGTGTAATATTCAGGGATTTAAGTTGTTCAATGTGGATAGATGTAATGGGAAGGGGGGAGGAGTTGCATTGTATGTTCGAGAAAATATTAATTGTTGCATAAAAACAGGTATAAAAATAGATGGAGCAGTAACAGAGTCTGTTTGGGTAGAGTTCGTGGGGGTCAAGAAAAACTAATTCTAGGTGTAATATACCGACCTCCAGGCTTGGATCACGATAGAGGGAGACTTCTTTGGGACGAAATTGTTAGGGCTTCTGGACACAGTAACGTAGTCATAGTAGGGGACTTAACTTTAGCCAAATTGACTGGAATTCTTTGACAGGTAATCTAAGTCCAGTGACTTCATGGAAACAGTTCAGGACTGTTTTTCTGAAACAGAGTGTAACTGAGCCTACCAGGGGGAATAATTTGCTAGACCTATCTTGTCAAATAAGGAAACACTCGTGAATAATCTGGAGATCACTGAAGAGCTTGGCGCAAGTGATCACAAATCCATCTCTTTTAGCATTAATTGGGAATGCAAGAATAATGATAATACAGTAAAAATCCCTGATTTTCGTTCTGCCGATTATAATGGACTTAGGGAACATCTGTCTAATCTTGATTGGGGTTATCCAGCTAATGATTTTATTGACGATAATCATACTTATGAATATGAAGGGATCTGCTTTTATGAATTGTTTTCTTAATAATGTACACAGTGCCCAGAGTTATATACATTCCCCAGGAGAAATTAGGTCTAATAATAACGATCCCAAATGGGTTAACAGGAGGTTAAAGCATCTATTAGGGGAGAAAAGGGGAATTTATAGGCGCATCAGAAGAGGAGAGGTTAACCTTACTGACCAATATGTTCAGCTTAAAAGAGAAGTAAAAAAGGCGATTAGAAAGGCTAAACGTGACTATGAAAAATTTGAGTTGCTATGAATCAAAGACTAATCCAAAGGGGTTCTTTCAAGTGTATAGGACGAAGGTGAAGGAAAAAGTAGGACCTCTGAAATCGGAATGTCAGCGACGGATA